AGGCGGATCGCCGCCATAGCGGACACTACGGCCGCCCACGTGCTTCTGACTTGTCCTCCGGATTGTCGCACTTGACTTCCGTCACCTCACATCATCCGGAATATCGGACGATTCTTGCGGGCCTCTCGAATGCGCTCAGTGAGCTGTTCTTCAGACAAGGAACATCTGGTCATCATCATCTAGTTCAGGCGGCCCGTCGTCCGTGTCATGGCTGGACATCAGGGGCTCCAAATACGCCAGCCACGAGTCAACTTCAGTCTTAAAAGGGGCATGCTCTCAGCATTGCGGATGTTCAGGCATATAAGCTTCCTTACAAGTGGCGAGATGAAACTTATCCCATCCTCTGGCTGAAGGCAGGGCCTCCGCGCAGATCTGCGAAAGCAAGGCTCGTCGTTGATGACATTCACGGCTGGCGTGGTCGAACGCCTTTGCTCGAGACGCATTCATTTAACCTGAGCCTGACGAAAAGCCCAGCTGCAACAATATAGCCGGTCAAAAAAACCTTGGGTTGAAGAGGTATCCAGAGTCTCCTTAAGGACAAACTCACAAGACATGCCCCTTTGTTTGGTAATGCTGCCCCGCTTGCCACCAGCGATCAGTTCAGGTGGCACGCGGCCTTTCTATCATCACGCTGCAGAAGATCTGGACGCTATGGCCCTGGACAGCTTGCGCGCGCGTGGACGGTTAAACTCCCTAAGCTTACCGGCAGGGATTCGACTCAAGTTGACTGTGAAGACGATGGGCAAGATATAGTTACAGTATATAGTGCGCCCACGCCACTTTTGAGACTTCTGGTAGTATAGAGGGAACGGTGGGTTCTCCAAGTGATAGATTCGCAGTTGTTGGGCATGACCAAAGTCATCCTGCGAAGGAGCTGTAGGCCGGCATCTCAGAGAACGCGATCGATTTGTCTGGGCGCGTCCACCCGGAATGCGGGGGGATTTGGGCAAGGTTTGCGGCAATCTTTTTCATGAACTGCGACTCTTGCATTTAATTCGCTGCTCCAAGGGAGCCAAAAAGGAACACCACGCAAGGCTTCTCATAGGGACGATGGCCTTGCTCTTCTTGCCCTTGCCTCTGCCCTTGGTGGTCGGAACGCCGACTCCTTTGCACTTGGGGATTTAGATCTTCCTTTTGTCCACGCGGCGAACGACGCGGATTCCGTTTTTCTTGCACATGTACGCGGTGCATCTTGGCATTCCACAGGGGTCTGGCATATGGTGTCACAGGTTTATGTTCACCTTGGGAAAAGGCGATCTTGAGATCCATGTGACAGGTTTGGGTGACAGTGCGGCAAACTGTCGCAGAACGGAGCCCCCAAAAAACAGGCTAGGCTGCTTGTCAGTCTGGGGTGTCCTTCTCCCTGTGAAACCCTTGATTGAGCGCCCAGGAGAACCCAGCGGCCTTTATCTTTACGCATGTCCACAAGCTCAAAAAAATATCCGTCATTGTCAAACCAGGATTTACACTCAGGTTGCTTTGCTTCCACGAGCTATTTCGCAAGTTGTCGCTTCTTTTGCTGGGTTGCCTCCTTCCGTTTCTTGCCAACTAAGTATGCGAACACGTCCCCTTTTGCTTGGCACAGAGTCAAGCGAGCATTGTCCTCATCCGCAATGCAGGAATTTACTTGCTTTTCTGAGTTTCCCGGTATATAATTCTTTCTGATTATTTCCCCCGTCCTTGCCGCAATGAAGGGTGTACCGAGGGACTGTGAAGGAACCTGTATTACTACAAAGCGTTGGTTCTGCTGACACCACCTATCCCTATCGACGAAGAGGTCGTGATAGTCGATGGTTACCTTGAACTCGGGTTGATTCCCCTCTTCTTACTGTTCTTCATCAACCGTTTCTGTGTCCAAAAAATCGGACGAAGGGCGTTCATCTTCCGGGTCTTCGGCCATCGGAAGGTTGTCCTGACGGTTGCGCGCTTGGATCTCTGGCGTCATCATCTTCATCTTGCGGCAGCGGATCCCGAGCCTTTTCGCCTTTTCGTTTCACACAGCAGCAACGGACGGGGTATTTGACGCGACTGGCGGCGAAGAAGTGAGGCGATAATCACCCCCCGCGCTTGCTCGGCGGAATGTCCAGAGGAGATGAAAACGGGTCAGGAATCTGCAGTACCCGTCAGGGAGGCGCCACATGAGTACCAGGACTAACACAACAGCCAACGGCGCAAAAGGATCAGGCGTAGGAGGAGCTGCAATCGCAGGTGGAGGAGAAGGTGGTGGCCGCAGCGCGTCAAGGATCTTCACGGCACAGGCCTGTTATTATTGGCAAGAGACATCTGCTCATCAGGTTTTAAACCAGGAGGTGGTAGGAGGAGAGCAGGCGGAGTAGGAAACCAAGTGCAACCTGCAAGGCGCTTCCTCACAGTGCACTGCTGACCCTTTGCAGAGGAAAAGCGGCTAGACGAATCCTGCAAAGGAAAGCTGACCTTGTTCGTGTCTCTATGCCGCTTGCACCCACTCAATGATGACAAAGCAGTCAACATGGCGATACAGCGATACACTTCGGCTCGCGAAAAACGCCAAGCTGAGAAACGTGGCAACCATCAGTCATCAGTCTCTTCTGCTTGACTCTCGGAAAATCGAGCATCCTGAGACTGATTGCTCTGGTCGGCCGAAGTTCCTGCCCAATCAGCCGAGTTTATCCTGAGTTCCACTGTTCCACTTGTGACCTGTCCTTAGATAGCTTGGATGGCCTACACTTCATTGCACCAACAACGTCCATCGTCCCACTCACTAGTACCTCAGGTTTCCTCGGCAGTTTCGTTTGGTGAGCCTGCGATGGCTCTTCGACTCTTCGGACGCTGATGTGGCAACATTGGCGTGCTCTAGTTCTGCTGTTTTCCTTTCCCTTTCCAGTTTCCCTTGAAAGCATCCTTTCCTTTGAAAACTAATCCCTTTCCTTTCTCTCCTTTTCCTTTGCCTTGCTGATAGAAACTGGAGCCGGGATGTTCCAAGTAATGCGCTGCACCCTTGCCTTTATGGCTGACAAAGCCAATTCTTTTTCCTATTCATCGTCCTTGACCTTTACGTTTCTGAAGTTGTCGCGATCAGCGATTGTGGACCTTGCTGTTGAAATATTCTCGCTCAGCAGAAAGAATCAAAAAGGCATTCTCGTTGATTGGGGGCAGACACAGGCCCCTCTTCACCTGTATCTTAGTCTACAACCCAAAACCCTGCTTCATTCCCCACATCGCCTTCATCAAGAGTGAGAAAAGGTTGGCATCGAAACAACGGGTCTGCCGTATCCGTTGCTGTGCCACAAAGAGATCTAGGAAAAACCTTTGGCTGCAAGATTCATATAGTTGTTGACGCCAACATGGCGCAAAGGTACGCTGGAGACAAAAAGTTCTACTGTGTATGCTCTTCGCTCAAGCCTGACTGGACAAGAAAGATGAGAGACGTGAGATTGTCTGAAAGGAGATGGAAGAAGGAAAGTTCTTCGATGCTGCGGCTTCACGTTGCCAACCACTTCAGATCAAATTCTCTCAGCTTCCGTTCTTTTACGTTTGGGCCCTGCATTTGTTGCAAGAGCATGTGCTGCTGCTGTGTGGGGGTGTTCGGGCAATCGGCGTCACTGGTGGATGGGACGACTGTAGTGTCATGACTATCTTGGATGAGGGGTCCAGTCTAACACATTCCCCACTGCCTCGCGAAGCGCGCATAAGCTGCGCGAACTGCCACGAAAAGACCTGGCCCGCACCTTTCAAACAGTAGGGCATCGGAGTGCCCTTGAAATATGCAACACCCTTTCGCTCATCTCCAAGTTGCGTGTTATCAGGCATCTTCTTGTACAGTACTACTCAGCTGAGCCTACAACAACATCGAGCAAGGGGCCAGGCCTCTCTGCAGTAAGCATAGGCGTAGTGGCAATTGCTGATCCAATCACCTATCAAATCTTCACACCTATCAAAACTTCACGAACTCTGGCCATCAAAAGTGGGAGGGGGGCTGGTGTCATCTTGACACCTCGTGCTGGCTGCGCTTACGGCACGCCGAGGTTCCGTTTCTAGTCACTCCTGGCCTCACCTTTGGCGTCCGCATCTATGCGGAAGATCTGGACAATGGTCACACAGGCAACACACTGGTTGTCTCAAGTTCGGAATGCCGAACAGACACGCACCAATGCAGTCTACGCGACAGCGAAGCAAAGGAGAGACAAGCCGCCGCTATGGGGCAAGATCACCCAAAAGTGGCAGAAGTGCCATTCTGGAGCCAAATGACGAAACTGCATGTACAAAGATTAAAACACAAAGTCGACTACAAAGAACTGTAAACGGTACATTGCGTAGATATGGGCCTTGAAAACCAGGTGAACACAAACATCACCCCCCCCCCCACCCATCTTCAAACATGCCCGAAAATCAGCAGGTTCTTCAATGGCGTCTAAGCAGCCGGCAACTGTATAGTATGGTTATATATCCAAAAAATAGGTTCCGCTAGGCCACATAACATAGGGCTTATTGGGGCTTGTCAAGAGCGAACCTGAAAATGAACACATATTACAGTAAAGAGTGTCTTAAAATACTTCCCGCTGCAAGTCGTAACTAAGTCGGATGTATTGCCTGCAGGCCTTGCGAGACATTTGGCCTTCAAGCAAAGCAAATAATGCCAAAATTTCTGCACAAGCATGGGGTTGGCAGCGCCCCTTCAAGTACAGTGAGCCTCAAAAAGGCTCACTAAGCCCTATTCGGCCTTGGCAATAACAAAGAGTTCAGAAGGCTTACCTTCTGCCCGGAGTTTGGAGTTGTCACGTTGCCTGAAATTGCCTGAAATATTGAGCGTCCAGGAGTCCAGGCATTGCAAAATGTTTTTGAGCCAGACTTACCCAAATATTCATCAGGAGACACGAAGCCGCGAAGGCTGATATACCAAAGCGGAGCTGAAGTTGAGTGAATTATTTTCCTTGCTTCCTTCGTCCTTTCTTCCATCTATCCGTTCTTTCTTCCTTCGCTTGATCCTTCCCAAAACATGATCACAGTGTGAGGCCCCCCACCTGTGAGCTCTGAATCGGCCTGGGGCTTCGCCTGCTTCGCATGCACTCCAAGTTTGGGGCAAGCACCATACACGCCCTTAGGATCTCCGCAATACCTGCAGTGAGGCTGCCCTTCAGCTCCACATCCAAGACCAGGGCAGGTGCTGTCAAAAAAGCACTCCAACCCCGATTTTGTGCAGCTGCATCTGTCTTTGACTCCTGCAGGGTAAGTTTACAGTAAACATGGGGGAAAAGTGTGTTTGGAGGTTCCCTGACCAGCTCTCAGTGTTTCAAGCCAGCTTTCGGTTCCCCTAGCTTCTAAGTTCATTCCTTTCCGGCTCGACCAATCCATCTGTGGCGACTAAAGTCTGAAGTCTCGCTGCTCGCACTCAAGCCTGACACACAAAGGCCCAGCCCAAGGACCAATACGCTGGCTGGATGTGGAAACATCGCTAGAGCGAATGAGAACAACATGTGGCTAAAGCTGTACCCTCATGATGTTGTGATGCCTCCCATGCGTGGTCTGGATTTGAGCAAAAACGACTGCATTGCACAAAATGTGGACCAAAGGTCGATGGTTTCCAGTGACCATATACAAGAATCAAGAATAGCATACAACTTGTGCACTGCCAAACCTAACAGCAAACCTGCCAATATGGAAGAAAACACATGATCAATCAAGTACAAACAACATACAAAGGGATCAAAGCTTGGAGTGAGTGATAACTGATAGCCGGATAATGTCCCCTTGCAAGTTTTTCGGCAAGGTGTGCTTTGCTTCGCTTGTCTAACTTCTTACAACATGACTGCAAGACCCGACATGCACCAAAACTTCAATGGGCAACAGCCCCACCCTGAAGCAATCCTAGTTTAGAATGGCTTTGACCCTCTGGTCAGCTGGTCTTCTGGATGGTCCATTGGTCATGACTGAACCTGTCCTCTAACCTCTGCCCTTTGCTCGAACCCAGCTCCTACAGCTGTTGCTTAATTTTTCTGGTGGTTGCTGGCTGAGCGAAACTACGTCTGGCATGTTGCTGTGCACGGCTGATGGTTGGGTAAAGCTACGTCATGAGGGCTTGAAGGATACGACAACTGCTTCAAAATGACGGGATGGCCTCAGGCAAGCGTTCTAACAAGCAAGCAAGTCAAGCCGCGTTCAACCTGCTTTGTTCTTGCTCTTGGCCTGTGTAAGAACAGAATCATGCTGAGGCTGTCAGTCTGTCTCATGGGGGATTGAATAGTCAAGTTCAAAGCTTCGTTGTCAAGGATTGATGGCAGATCCTCACACCACCAGGGGTCCTGGAACTAGCATGGTGCACCCAACGTCACCCCACCCCATACGCAATGGATGCTCCAGTTCCAGTCCTTCATCTAATCTCATGCAATGTCTTCTCTTAAAAAACTAAGAAAAACATCTCAGGCTCCTGGAGTTTGTCTGGTATCTTAGACTTACGCCCTCTCGCCGCCTCTCGCCTCTCGCCGCACCAAACTCGAATTCCCTTTTACAGCTGGACCACTATATACGTAATATATGGTACATCTTAGTGTGGTGGTGGTGGAAGTCTGCCACTCTTCAATTCTCTGGAGTTGTACCTATATACTTAGACTTAGAACTAGGACTGCTCTCCGACTATGGCTTTTTCAAAAAGCGACTGGCGATCTCTCGTCAGCAAGGCCACTCTCTGAGCGTCTCTGAACCTGGACACGGGTTGTAGTTTATCAGTCATGCCTGCAGCCACTCTACAATAAATACTATGGATTTGTGATCACTTTTGTCGTGTTCTAAGTCCACAACGAAAGGTCGGCCGGAGCCACCTTGGCGATTGAGGAGGAAAGGTCGCGCTTTCACTTGCAGAAGCCATACGCACTTGGAAGTGTGTGTGCAACCCTTGGGGTCACAGGGGTCCTTTCGGGTTGGTTTGTTCTTGTTTGCCGATTTTTCAAGCAGGGGGCACAGAGACTGAGTCCTATCCGTGCCAACGAAGCTATGGAAACCAGTTGGAGGAGAGTTGGCTTGTACCTGCCATGGTTTGAACTTTTGATCAAGCTGTGACTCCACTATTCAGCACAGGGCTAATGCAATCTGCAGTCATGCACGAACGCCGTCAGCTTGTCGCTTCGATCGGTCGATGGTTTCTTTTAGATTTGATGGCCACGCTGAACTTGATGGACCTCCTTTCAAGTTTCC